GATCAAAAGGCATAATAAAACAAGGGAGCTGTATCTCGGGCACAGAGTCTCCCAAATAAGGGAAGTGATGGAATTAATTAATTTTTCTCCTGCTGTGTGTAAATGTACATCATTGCAAATCACTAATGCACAGTGTGAAACATCCAGGGAAATGTAAATTAGAGGCATAGGAATAACTTGAAATAACCCAGTGACATTTCTCATACACGTTTATCCTGATTCTCTTCTCACTTGCACCTAGTCAATGCCAGGCTAACACCAGTAGAGACAAACATCTTGCAATATCCACTAATTTGAGAGGATAGCCTCTGTCAGGAAGCTGCATCTGTCTTTAATCTGAACAAAACAGCTTCCTTCCCTGCCTCCCTGAGGCTTTGGAGGCAAGATCTGAAGGTTCCAGCTTCTCCAAGGTGACAGACACTTTTATGCCTGTAATCCTTTCCTCTGAATGGAGCAAGATAAACCGCTTCCACTCAAGCACCCTTTCCAAGTCTCCCAATTGTTTCCCTTGCAAACAGCCTCAGAGTTAAGAATGGCATAATTGTGGCCCTTCCAGCACAATGTGAGTTTATGGAAGGCTTTGATGTTTCTCTTTTTTTTTTTCCTTTCCCATTTTTTTTTTAATTTTTCTTTTTAGTTTGAAGCTGTACTGGTCACATATAGTAAGAGTTTGGGCTGCCTGGAAGTCTCCCTTCAGACAGTTCCCAGGTTAGTGCTGGCACCTTGAATCTGTCCATTGGAAACTCTGAGCTGCTGCAGGGAGAACAGGTGTGTCCTGCAGGGAGAACAGGTGTGTCCTGCAGGGCAATGGTCCCATGGCCACTGAAACTGAAAACAGCGGTAGGCGGCCTCTGGAGAGGAAAACCCTGCTGTACCCCAGGCAGCATTTTCCTTGTGCTGACACTGTTGGCTTTGTCAATAGCCACGTGCCAGCATCTGGCTGACAGTTTAGGAATATGGCAGTAGCTTTAGCCTGTCCGTGGCCACAAGGCTCCCCCAGCAGTGTGAAGGTGTACCAGCACTGCCACCACGTGAGCAGGAAGGGTCAGAGCAATTCTGTCTTGCCTGGTTGAGGGGAAAAGAGCAGATAGGCCTGTAAAAAGGCCTGTAAAATTTTCTGAGCTAATAAGCCTGATTAAGTATATTTCTGTGAGCCTCCATGCTTTCAAAACATAACTATGCCGTTTGTATAGGATTTGAAAACTTTTTTTTTTGGTAACAGTGGTAGGTGGTGCTTTTGAGAGTGAGGTTTTTGTTTCCAGTTTTATACAGGTATCTGAAAAACCTTGACAAAATGACAACACTCTGTCTCACTTGCCAGTTGCCAGCACTTACGGTCCCCAGGAGGCTGAGCTCCTGAGGGCCGTGCCACCCTGCCTGCTGTCCCTCTACACAGTCGATGCTGCTGTAGCAATGTCTGGGCACTGCCTCAAGACAGTGAAGGCATGGGAGACCTTAGGAAGTGATTTAATGTTTTTGCAGAGACCAGAGGAGTTTGGCAGTCCAGAGGCCCAGGAGCCCTTGGATTGGGTGCTCCAGAGACACCTTGTGTTAACCACCATGAGAACTATGGGCCTGTGGAGTGGCCAGCATAAAGTAACAGTTCAGGTGCAATTAGCATTTGGATGTGGAAGTCATTTTATTGGCATGGTGCCTGTTTTGTAGGGGTTTGCCTTCATTATGGTTTGGTTTGGATTTTTTTCCTTTTCATATGTATTGTGAGAACTTACTTGGCTTGTTTCCCAGTAAATGAAAGTAAAATCCTTTGTCTAGTTTAAGCAGATGTGACAGCGCAGAGCGTGAGCACACAAGAGCTGGTGTGATGGTTTCTTGTTCTACCCAATATCATATGAAAATTTACTAGTAGCTGTTATTTTTGCCTTTTTTTTTTTGAATCCTAGATTGTGAGAGATGCAAGATGATTTTCATTCAGACTCTTAATTTTTTTTTTTTTTTAACCTACAGTGTGATCTTGTTTTCAGAAACAAGAAGGGTGATGTAGTTGGTTTTACATTAAGCTGCCTTGAAGTCTAAAACAATGAAACGTATGGCCTAACATACCTGGACACCTCTTAACACTTCTTTTTTTAATGGCAGTGTCATTGGTGTCTTTAGTATGAACTTCACAGTATGAACCAGGTTATGGTATATTTATGATGATCATAATGAGTTACCACATGAAATGCAGGCACTTGGAAAGTATTTATGTGGTAATCTGAAGAGTTTAGGTAGCTGATGGTGAAAGCTGGGACTCTGAAACACACAGCTAGGGGAAGGGAAACTTGTTTTGTTTCCAGGTCAGGCACAGCTTCAGCTTGCAGCTCGTTCCACTTGGAGAGCTGCATTGTAGTGCAAACCTAATTAAGCAAATAAGGTTTTACACAGACCCCCTGCTTTGCTGAGGATTCCTGGTGTGTGTTAGGCTGCTGCAAAGCAGAGCTGGCAGTGGCAAGTGTGTGCTCACAGATAAAACACATGACGACTTTGCAATTTGTGTAGGGCTGAGCTAATTGGCAGAGGCTCAACTTGGCCGTGCGGCTTCCCTGGGGAGCCAACAAAGGATGACACTGCCAGCTTCCAGTACCTGGAAACACATTTATAGAAAGAAGGCAAAGGTGAACAGACACATCCTGTGCCTCAGAAACAAGGTCATTAGTGAATTAAAATAGACCACCTGAGAGCTGCTTGTCCCAGCCTGACAGGCACTGCTGCCCTAAGCATTTTGCAGCTGTGGGGTCAGAAGCACCTACGCAGTGCTGGAGGCAGCCAGATGTGCCTGGAGAGAGGAATGGGGCTGGGTGGGGCCATTGGCCAGAACGATGATGGGTGTCCAGCTCAGAGCTCATACCACATGCTGCCTGCAAACCAGCTCCTCCAGGCCAGTGCCCTCCCTACTCCCTGATCATGGCTGTTTCCTTCTCCCTGCTGCCGACTGAAGGACACGGGTTTGTCTAACTAGACAGATCAAAAGCACCTTTGATCTCCCTCAGCTGCTGGTCCCACAGGTAAATGTGAAAACTTAGTGGGTGGAGTACAAAGTTTGCCTGGCTTCTCTCCTGCTAATTGTAGTTTCCTTCCTTAGGGAAAGAGCCCTGCTTGTTCCTGGAAGGTACAGGTGAGCTGCACAGTCCCTAGCTGCCCTATAAAGGCGTGGCCACTTTCTGTGGTGAGCGGTGAAACACCTGGGCTGTCCCCTGCGTGCACAGGGCACTGCAGGACTGTGTCACCCCTCCAGCAGCAGCCAGAGGCTTGAGTGAAGCCAGAGCCTGGGTCAGTCCAGGTGCAACTTTGGGCACTTTCTGGTGTTGTCCACAGTTAGGAGCAGAGTTGCCCATTAAGCAGGAGAGAGATGCCACCAGTGGTGGCATCTGTAGCTGTAGGGTGAGAGTTTGGGCACTCATCTGCCGATTGATTCAGTCCCTGCTCAAAGGACCAGTCACATCTGCAATATTAAGTAGCCACTGCATAGAATTGTGACTAAAAGGGATTGGGGGTGGGGTTATAGAAGAGCTTCAGCTCAAATGGTTTTGATTTAAGTACAAGCAGCAGGGCTTTTTCCCACTCCCAGTGTCAGTCTCGAGTGGAATTTATTCCTGGCGTTAGATGTTTCACAGTTACTCCCCTGCCACCCCCCTTCTTCTGTCAGGGGTAAGGGGGCTCTTGTGTGCTGCCAGCAGCTGACAGGACAGGGGCTTTCTTTTTTGGCTCAGTGAGTCAGCTCCTCTCATACTTCAGTGCTACATCCCCAAAAGCCTCTTACTGCCTGCCGAGTGCAGCACTGCACTGCGACTGTACCTTGGCATCCCGTCTCATGAAGTGATCCCTCAAGGCGAGTCCCCTTCAACTTTTATGTCATCTTCAGGAATGTGTCATTAGAGGGGACATCTAAACTGACGCTGTCAGTCGTGTTTCAGAGCTCCCATGCCTCATTGCACACCCTGGCTTTGTCCTCCTTACTGGGATGGGTGGCAAAGGAGGACTCCAGAGCTGCACCATCCCATTCTACCTTGTCACTTCGCTCCTACAGCATGGAAGCCAACAGTGGGAAGCAAGAGCCCACAACACACTGTGGTGTTTGTCCATCTTAAGTGGAGCCTTTTTGTCACTCCACTGGAATAAGGTGGGACTGATCATCACAGTGCACAGATCAGCATAACTGCATGCTAAAAACAGACATTAAGTATTACCAATGCCATTAACATTTTACTGTAAATTTTGTTGGCACTATTAAAGATTTTTCTTTCCCCCTCCCCCAAGGCAATAGAAATAAGTGTGTGAATGTTTATTCATTCATCTGTCAAGTTACAAAATACTTATGGAAAAGTATTCTGGATTTAATTGTAAAAAATAAGATCTAAGAGAGAGAGCAGTGCCTTAAGCTCTGGCTGCTGTTACATTCTGTGATGATAAACTGTGAAGGATGCTTTTTCTTGTACTTTCAACACTGTTATTAAATAAAACCAAGCTGATTTACTTAGCCCATCTTTAGCTAATACAATTTAAAAGGGGACTAGACTGAAACCTTTTCCCTCCCAAAAAGCACATTATGTGCATTGTATTTACTAAGGTTGAATGAGGTGATACTTTTACCAAAAAGCTCCTGACCTGGTGTTGCTTTTGGAGTGTTATATGCAAAAGAATTAAGTCCAGATCTCCCGACTTTCCCCCCGGGAGTTGACAGGGTGGTACTGGCAGGAATGGGAATATTGGTTTGCAGTTGGGGGAAGGAGATGGGCAGGTGGGGGCATTGGACTTTTCCATCTTCCTGTATTCGAAAAACTCTAATTCAGAATTTCTCAGTTCCCTTTTCTTGGTGAAGAATTTATGTTTATCTATATGCAAGAATATATAGGTTCATAATACCAAAATATGTTTACTTTTTGTTTATACTTATTTCTTTGTTTTTAAGAAACCTGGTTCATCTTCAGGAAAAGTGTGTTCTAAGCTGATAGGGGCAGGGTACCCAAATACAGGCAAAAAGACACCCCACTTAACTACTAAGACGTTACTCAGAAAGCTAAAGCTTTATTTTGTGATCTTTTGTATGTTACATAAACATGCTATGGATTTAGTCTTCATTAAGGTGATGAGTTATGACTGTTTCTTAGCTCCAAATTCCAACAAATGTGGCAAAAAGTTACCAGTCGTAAGAGGAAACTTAGCACAAGTGTAAACACCTTTCAACCAAGATCCTGTAAGTTGTGTCTGTAAACTTTGGATAGACAGTGACCTGGAATGATTTAGTTCCACTCCATCACGCAAAGAGCAAATTTAAATGCAGAACCACCTATTTTAACAAGATGGTTCTTCCTTGGTTTCCTTTCCTGCACCGGACACTCCATAGTCAGCGTCTCTTGTGCCTGTTTCATAACCAAGGAGGGTCTGATATGTTCCTTGTGGTCACCAGTGCTCTCAGCTGTTGCCAAGGACCACTGAGAGAAATAAACCCAAGTCTCTTCCTACACTATCGAAGGTGTGACCTTGGCAGTGTTCAGAGATTAGATTAATGGGGGACATGGGGGAGGGTAAATTGTAGGGTACTGGCAGTGTGTGGCAGTGACACAGCAATGCTGTAAGAAGTGCGTTTTCATCTCTTCTGTCTCATTAATTGCAGCTACATATCATCCAAGAGGGACTACATAAAGGCTTACACGGTGACCTCAGTGCATATCGTATCATGTTGTATCGAGCAGCCCTTTTATGACTAAGAACAGGAAGGTGAGCTTCCAAGACAGCTCACAAGTTCTGCCTTTTCACGAGTTTGCCTTTTCCTCGAATCTGTGAACAAAGTGAAAGGCCTCTAAAAATTCATTGAAGTCAATGTGGCCATCTTTGTTGTGGTCTATACTCAGGACTAATTTGTCAAGGGAGTCATCCTGTACATCAATGCCCAGGTGAGAGGTGAAGAGTCTCCATGTCTGGCTGAACTCCTCAAGAGAAATCAGACCTAAAGGAGACAGACAGCAGGTTGCTTCTTCCGGTATGAAAATGTTTCCCGTTCCTGCAAATACACATACATGCACACTCCCTCCCTGCAAGAAAGTTACCTGCCTACCCTGGCTTTGGTGTGTTTTGTGCTTTCGTGACTGAAGTACATTTTTACTTTAGATAATGGTCAAATGATTTTGCCAGAGGAATTGAGAAAGCAGTAAATACTGAGAGTGAGAGTGGAAGGGAGAAAGAGCCCCCAGAAGAGTGAAGCCAGTACTGGAGATGGGGTATGTGAGAATTTTTTGTCAAGTTAGGCACTGTCCCTTATATGGTTGCAGCCTGACTGCTTAAATTAGTCTTCACTAAACTGGAAAAATGACATCACCTCTGCTTCCTCTATATTTAGAAGCCTTAAGGAGGAAACACAGTGGGGAAAAAATAACTAGTATAGGCTTCCTAGAGCCGGTACAGTGAAGTTACCTAGACTTACCCGAGTGATCTTTGTTAATGATGTTAAAGATGATCTCCAAATCCTTTCTGTATCTGCACAATGTTTCCACCAAAGCTGGCTGAGCCTGGTTTTGAAATTGCATACAGGAAGACATTCAGACCTTGGTTTGAGTTAGTTTAACCAACAGAATATGTACAGTCCAATTCCATTTTCCTAATTTAACTTGTGAAATGTTAAAAAAAATCCTTATGCTTAAGTTCCCTGGAATAACACTTTGAGTCTTGCCCTGAGGAATAATCAGATAAACCCCGTCACTTTCAGATTGGCAGAGCAAGGGGGAAAGGAGCCCTTCACACCTCCTACCTTCAGAAATTATTTGTGGAAATACGGATAATCTAGGGAAGATGGTATAGGGAATTGGCTCTGGAGCATGTTTAAAAAGCTCATTTCAAAGAGGGTGGAGTGCTCTGGCCAAGATTTGTCATATCTCCTCAGCTACATTATCTAAACACCCTTGAAAGTCAACGGAAAGTAAGAAGCAGTTCTAGCATGTGATTCATCCAACCTATTTTAAGCATCTACCTTAGCAGGGAATGATGATTCGTACCTGACCAGTGTTCATTTTCTTCCACTGACTATAAGAGGAAGTTTGACAACTAGTTCAGATGTAGATGTCTACCTGATTGGCCAAACCACTGTCTTGTGCTTCAAGTTGCACCAAAAGCTGTTCCTCCAAGATTTGCAAGGAGGTGTTTTTGTCCTTACCTCTTTTATAGGTGGATCCATTTTCAAATCATAAAAACATGACATGAAGTCAACTTGTCCATCTGGGTTCATCTGTGCTAACCGAGGCCGCAGCATCCTCCAGGGCAGTTCCAGCTGTAGGACAGACTCCATTGCTGCAGCCCAGTCAGGGACAGAAATGCAGCCTGCCAGAAGGGGTCAGTTCATGGTTACAAGCAGAACATGGCACAGCACACGTCAGTCACCAGCATACCTTCACAACCGCTCTTAAGAACGGTTGCGAAGCACAAATATTTTCTCTTAACCCCAGGATAAAAGCCCTCATAACAATGAGCAGTGGGGTTGGACTAGACATTTCCACAAGTGCCTCCCAACGTCAACAACTTTGCGATGCTATTAGGATGTTCAGCATATTTTAACACCTTTTGAGAAAACCAGATTATGCCATAAAGAGTACTTCAGATTTCAGCTGAGCTGCAGTTAGCACGTCATGTGGCTGAAAAACTCAGCAAGACAGAATGTCAAACAACTGTTCAGTGGCCAAAGAAACAGTACCATCATGTTACTGAGTGCCCTTGTATGCATGAGGGGCATGGTCAAGTGAGGAGCCATCACAAGGAAAAGCTGTATTTGTGGTAGAAATCAACTTCTTACTCCTACATAAAAGCTTCATCTATTAACTTACCACTGCATTTTCTGCAGCTGGTAGGTGAATGTGTGTCTGCTAGAGGTACAGGCAGTCAACTTTCCTTATGTACCTCCCAGACTCGGAAGGACACCAGTTCCCCCTCGTCTGAGACCCTAGTTCCCTGTCTGACATCTGAAGGCACCACCTAAGAGGAGGTGGTGACCTTTGAGCTTCTGGAACTGAATTTGCCTGCCCATACTCTCTGCCCAACAGCAAACAGCATTTCTTTATTTGCCCATGTGTTTCAGTTTTCTTCTTCCTACTTAAAATCTTCATCCTCTCAAGTTGTTTTCCAGGGCTAAGCACTTGCCAACACCTATTGTCCTCTGTGGTCAGGAAGAACAAGGTCAACCAGCCTCTGCTGCCCTCCAGCCTTACACTGGCAGGCAGGCAGGACCCCTCTCCATGGGGTTTGTCCCTTCTGCCCCACACACACATGAAGTGTTTTCCCCATAGCGGCAACTGGACATAGAGGGAGTGGTACCTGTGCCATTGAGGTCATATTGTGCAAAAGCACAAATGAGTTCAGACCTATGAGCATAAATCAGCTCTTGTAAGGACTTTAAGGCAGATGATTCAATTGTACCCACCCTAGGAGGAAAAAAATCAGAGCAGATTATTAAAGAATTTAAATCCTCTGGCATTTTATACTTTTTAACAATCACTATCAAATTCTTTTATCCTTTAACATGTAGTATGTTTAAGTAGGATGACCCAAAACATACTAGAGAATACTAGAGGGAAGGGGGGAAAGCCCCAAACCAAACAAAACCAAAAGTGTTCCATAAGAATAATCTGAGTTTATGAGATAACTGAGTTTATACAGGTAATTCTAAGGTGCTTTCCTTTGGTAATCTGACCACAGTGCTAGGCATGGCAAAGCTATGATGAACTTTTTGGACTCAATTCATAACAGGATTTGTCCAGATTAACACTGCGGCCTTCAAGCAAACCTGACAGACAGGTGGAGACCCTTTACAACTCCCTGACAGTTGTCTGTTCTAACCTCTTACCTTATCTAATTACCATTGGGAGTTTGTCAGGAAACCAAGTTAGAGCATTTAGAACATGTTTGGTCAACTGTATTAATTTTTAAATGGTAAAATAGAAAACAAGGGAAAATTGCCTATTCAATTATTCAATCAAGCTCTAGATTTGTGGCAGGTGCTCACAAGTGAGTACACTCTCACTGCATGCAACACAGAGCTTTACCTCTCCAGAATACTCAGCCTGCGTGTGTACTTGCTGGATTGAAACTGTACAAACCGAGGAATTAGTGCAGGGTCCAGTTTGACGTATGCTCCCCGGTTACTCCCCTCTTCGTAATAGTTAGAGGCAGAAAAGATAGTGATAACCTGATTATAGGAAACAAAGAAACTGAATTGGCTAGAACAGCTCTTCTTGACACTGAGTTCTGAAACGGACCTTAGAAAAAAAGGCAGGTTACAAAATTAAGTGGCTACATGTAAAACCATGTCATTCACCAAATTGCTCTTGCCTTTTGAGTCAGAGCTCTGGGCCTGTATTTTTGACCTGTCATAGGAAGACTTGAGTTCAGAGGCCAGTGAGATATAACGTGCTGTTTAACAGAAATCTCTTTCTAAGACAGATCTGGTTTTCAGGATTCTTGCTGGCTTCCCAATACATCACATCAGAAAGCAGGGCCAGAAGAGAAATCATTAAGTTAAAAGGCTTCTAGAGCCTTAGAGCATCTCTTGCACTGTATTTACACACAGTTCCTCTCAGGGATTTTGTTGATGTCCATTTCTTTTCATGTGAGTAATAAACTGGTCCCCACTCCCTGAAGCTGTAAAGATTTTTGGTCATCACAACTTGGTAATTTGTTATAACATCTATCTAGCACAAAGTTCCCCCAAACCCAATTTAAAGAAGTCACTCTCTTTTTTTATTTTTTAAATAATTTTGCAGACAAATCTACTGTGGATGTGCCTGTGAAATTCATAGGAGAATTATGCTTTACATGGAAGCATCTTACCTTCCCACCATGACTGATGTCATAACCTTCCCGCTTAAATTCATGAGACCTGATGAGAATCTTCAGCTTATACCTTTGAAAGATCTTGGCAGTGACATCAGCACCAAAGTAACAACCTGCTCCTCGACTCTTGTTTGGTTTACAACCATTCTGGCTTCTTGGGTCACTCCAGAGAATGTCAAGCATCTACAAATAGCAAACTCAAGCAAGTGAAGACCGATAGTAGGTGAAGACTGACAGGCTCTGATGGTCTTAAGTACTGGCCATAGCGAAAGCCCCACAGTACAGGGAGAAAACACCTGAGCTAACATATAGGTCTTCTGTTTTCTTCCTTCCTCTCAGAGGGCATTTTTTTGGGCTGAAACTTTTGTTCTACTTTTCTTAAATACATGATCTAGATTTTGGGTGAACTTTTTTTCAGATGTAATACCATTTCAGCAAAGTACCTCCTTTCACAGCTGAGTTTTTCAGACCTGGATAGGTGCATCAGGAACAGTACCTGGACTATTTTGAAGAGAGGAAAAGCTGCCATCTTTGCATGCAGGTGGTTTTACCTAACCTAAGCTTGGGAGTGCCTGCTCTAAACCTGATAAGAGTTGCCTTTGGCTTTATTGTCTTCAGTTAGCTCATGTTTCGAAACAAGATTTTACATATTAGCATTTTAGCAGGATTCAGACATGATGATGAATTATTTAATTGTAGTCAGTAGCAAATATTAGTCAAAATGTGTTTGTTTAAATCTTGCTGGACAAGGTTTGCACTAACACATTCCAGTTCATGTTTGTGAGCATGGTGGCTCAGTGGATGATTGATTAGCTGGGGGAGTGTCAGCTTTGGGGGTGTGTGTGAGTGTTGCTTGTGCCCATTATGTTAGTTTGTAGGTCAGATAGGTATCACATTTTCAGATACAGATTTGCTGGGCAAATTAAGCTTTCCAAATTGCCACAATTTATTAAATTACAATACAAAAAAGCTCCACACTGGTTCCAGTATTCAAGAGGAAATGAACAGCCAGAGGACAAAAACTTCCCACTTCTGAGTAATTAGCCTGTAGGTCTCAGGAGTTGGTGTTTTTTTGGGCTGTATCAGCATTCAGCGGCCAAAACCACAGCCAAAAAACAGCGCTCACTCTCACCAACAACTGCAAAGTTTGACCTGCTTAAACCGATAACCACGTATGTATCAACAGATTCAACCACATGAGGGCATGCAAACACATTTCATACTTAGCAGTTTCCTCCTCCTAGCGGCTAAGAAAGGAAAACAATGGGCAAATTGTACTTGTAAGGTATAAAATCCCAAGCCTTTATTACTGGGTCTACAAAAAAATCTAAAAACCTAATAGCTGTCTAGTATATGACTGGTTTCTTACTAAGAGACAGTTCCCTATAACTCAAACATACTGCCTGAACAGAACACCTGCTGGTTTTGTGTGGGAGGGTTTTGGTATCAGTCTGTGTTTGGTTTCACCTACTTGTTTCCATTCCTCCTGGGTGGGGCCTGCAGGCAAATTTGAGCCTGAAGGCTCAGTGGAGCCCAATGAAGAGTCAAGCTGCATCTTCCCAGGATGATGCTGACTGGCAGTGTGTTTACTGAGGCCAGTTGTGGAAATTCCCTCCTTCTGGTCGTGTCTGCCTCCCACTGACTTGGGTGGCCGTAGCAAAGATTTCAACTTTAAAAAAAAAACACAACAAACTGAAAGGGTTATCAGCACATAAAGTTGATGCAGAGATTTTAGCTGAAAGGCACATCAGTTCATGTTTCTTCTACTCAGGAAAACTGAATGGGAGTTCAACTCAGTGTTGAACTCATATAATGTCCTGAACTCACAGGTTTGAAGGAAGCTGAAGGTGTTGGCACTTGCAGAAATTTTGCTTTATACCTATCAGCAACCAGCCTCTTCAGAGCTGCTCTCATATAATTATCCAGACACACAGACTTGTTGCAACCACAATCAATCTTAACATCTCACTGTACAGCAAGTATGACCTAGGCTTAGGGATGACACTTAAGTGCCTAGCTTTCCTGAAAACAAAATACAGAATAAAACCAAAAAAAACCAAAAAATAACCACAACCAAAACACACATACTCCACAGCCCCCCAAATTTTACTCTTTAACAAAGAAAAGGACTGATTCAAAACAAAATGCAACCACTGGGTTATTCCCCAGTGCACTGGCCAGTATTTGAGACCTGTCAGATGCCAGCTGTACCAATTAAAATACATCACTTTGCCTTGAGTGATACTGCCCTGGGTTGTGGCCCACATATGTCTCATTAGCAATGCTCTCCTGTGGCAGCAACTTTGACCTGTTAATTCTGCATTTCACAGATACTGCATCAGAAACATGCAGAGCCCAGCATCTGTACACCTACATCTGTAGTTAGGTACCCAGTTTTAGTGTACAGTGGTAGAGCCACAGAGCCCAGATTCCGATGATCAGAAGTACTCACTGCCCTTTTTCACACCTTCGAAAGACAGAGACACACCTGATGGTCCTGTAAAGCATTTATTTCTGCATTAGAAAACATGAGTGTGAGAGAAATAGCTCTGGATTCCACAGACATTAATGACAGGGTACACTATGTTGCTTAAATATAGGTCTCCTGTGCTATCTGAGATGCTTCACTGTGTCTGTGAATCGGCATGAGGGGGGCAGATACAAACCCGACCTAAAGGAGACTGGTGGAGGAAACCTACAAAGACGACTTTCTTCAGAGGCAGGCAAAAGCCATAGAGAACATGCCTAGCCTATGGGGTGCTTCCATGAACAGCACTGGAGACATGTGCCTAAGAAATTATAAGAACTGAACCTCCACCAGATCTCCTGGACCTCCACTGATTATAAGGAGCCTCAGCACCCCGATCACAAGCAGACATCTTGATTTAGTTGTCCAAATTGAGATCAAATCCCACACCATTTTCCACTGATTTGAAAGAGCTGTGTTTGCTCACCATTTCAGAAAAAAACTTGAACATTTCTGGCCTTTAAATCCCTGAAAAGCAGTAGTTTCTGTTTTCTCAAGGCCAGGTCTTAAGTTTGGTCCTTCTGGAAAGGCTCTCCCACATGTACAACACTCAGCTGCTGCCAAGGGAACACCTCACAGGTGGAGAACCTCCCCCACACAGCAGATGGCAGAAGCACAGCCCCAGGACAAAAGCCAGCACTAGAAATATGTGGCTAGATTGGTTTCCAAAGTGTTTTTGAATCAAGTACTTTTTATACTTTCTGGCTAATGCGTCATCACTGCAAGAAGGGGGTATCTAAAGTGTTTTTAGCTATTTTAAAGTCAAAAGACCTGTGCTATTTTACAGCAGCCAAACAAATGGCTCACAACACCTACTGAAACTTTCCTTCCTAAATGTTGATTTTGAAGAAAAATAGGACTTTTTTCCTTACAGCAACCATTTAATTTCCTAATGCAAAAATCAGCATTTGTACCCCCATGTGGATATATGATCTCTTACCTTATTTCTTTCAAGTGCCTTCAGGATATCCAAATCTGTGGTGTCTGAAATCCCTCCGTGTAGGATGAGAACTTTGTTATCAATTATAGTGGCAAGGGGTAGCCAGCTGAAGACATCTTGCAGAAGATACAAAATCTGTGTGCTGTGCTCCTGTAAAATATTCTCTTACATTAGATCCTATTTCTGGCAGATTCTGTTGCTTCCATATTCAAGATTTTGTTGAAGCATCTGCTACAGTCTATATGAACAGTTTTGTCCAGGTAACAACCTGAATTGCAACACAGACAAACATGTTCTGACATTCACTTTAGGGTCATTTGATTGTGTAATTTAGCTTTTCTTTTTGTGTTCTTGAGTGGCCTTATGGATGTTATTTATTTCATCCCATAGATCTCTGAGAATAAGAGGCTAGCACTTAAAATTGTTTTATCCACTGATATGCCAAAATAATTTCAACTACATCACTAAAGTAATTCTGTGTAATACCTACATAAACTGCTTGGAAGTCTCCTTGTTTTCACAGATCTCATTTTACATCTGCAAGACTACAAAGAAAATATAGGGGAAGGAGGAGGAATCTTACCTTGTACTTATTCGAAACTTCTTTTGTGAAGCCATATCTGAAAATAGGACAGCATCATGAACTGTTTTTTCAGTATGCCCCTTCTGCATGGTTTCCTGTGCTATAGTGTTTGCCAGGAGTTTTCTAGCCCCATTTTTCTGCTGCCTTTCCATCTCACCTCAGTTTAAATGTGCTTTCTTCCACTCCGTCTCAAGAATTTAGTTAAATTGATTTTTTGTACATACAGAGATCAGGAACAGAATTCATCCTAATAATCATTAAGTTGCCATTTTGCCAACTTTACCTTTTAAATACCAGATAGAAATTTCAAAGGAGCCTAACTGATGATAAGCAAAAATTCCCACAAAGCCTCCACAGTTTTTGTCCTAAATATCATATCATATCATATCATATCATATCATATCATATCATATCAT